GACCCATTCTCCAGGCAGGTGTTACCCTAGAACATTGACAAGAGACAAAAATACAACCTTCACAATCTTTGTGGTGCTATTTACAATGCTTGCCTATCCCACAATTCAGTTCATCACCAAATTAAATTGAGTAGGACTGACAATTCTGGCCATACATCAAAACAAGGGCTTCCCAAAACCCTGCACTGATTGGCAGTTGGACAGCATCCTCCAAGAAGGTTGCTGTCACCTTCACAATAAAGGTTGAGCTGTTAGCCACAGGAAATTACAAGTCCAGACTTGCTATACCGCTAAGATCAAGATAGGGCATCACAAGATGACACCTAGCACCTTAGCAGCCCACACTTTCGTACAGAGGTGAGATCCCATGTTTGAAAACACCACAAGGAAATAGGTGCAAACTCCAACTGACCAAGGAGGTTCCCAAGAATGATTACAAAATTAGGAGACAGCAGTAATTATATGTCTGCTGACTGATGCTATCAGTTTCCAAGTCACCCACAATGGCAAGAGACCGGTTGGAAGGGTAAGGACAAAGGGAACCACCCTATGGTGCAGAAGTGGGTAGGTCACTGGTGCCCTAGGGGCAGATTGGAACATGCAGCCTTTTCAGTTCTCAGTACTGGTGGATGAGGGGCAACCACAGATTGCTTGATGGATATACTAGATGAGGGTTTTCCAACTGGCAGCCTGCAAGCAGCATATGGCCTGCAAGGGGTTAAGGTGCAGCTCCTGGGCTCCCACCCAGCTGCCACTCTCCCCCATCACTCCAGCTGCCACAGCAGCCAGAGTCCACCCCTCCTGCTTACACTTCGTGCCCCTGCTCCAGGAGGAAGGGTAGCATGGCATGACCCAGAGAGCTGAACGTGATGGCCTCATTGGCACAGTGTAGCAGTGGACTGGGGGAGGTGTCATGTTGCAGCAGTGGGGGCACCCATGCAGTTGAATAGCTCAGGGAACCTGAGGCTCACCCTTGTCGAGCCTATGTGACATGTAGCCTGTGGGGTATGAGGTTCCCAGCTGCTTAGGTGTTAAACAGCTTCATGCATGATGGCTTTCTCTTGCAGAGGGTCCCTTATGACAGACAGGCTTAACCTGCATGAACAGTCTGAGGACACACAGGGCTGTACTACATCAACAGTGACTCTCAGGGAGAATGGGACTCAGCAGGCCCTACCCATCTGACTGCAGATTTGGAATAATCTACCCTGAAGAGTTGTTTCATATTAACCAAAGTACTTAGCACAAAGGTTTATATATCCCTTCTGAAATACTTTAACAAAATGAGTCACAGGTAATACAATCTCATTTTCCACATTAACTGATAGTCTCTGAACCCTGGGAAACTCTTTGTTTCACTGTGGCAGTAATTTCTTCCAGGCTGATTACACACAATAAAGGTGTTTTCTTTTATTAGTACAAATATACAGTCAGTGACAGAGAGAAAGAGAGAGGACTGGAAGGTTTTTGCTGGGTTGTTGAGACTGTTTACTTGCTATTGATGGCAACCATATTATGTAATCTTATTTGCAACCTTATCAAGCTCCATCCTAATATTGTCTTTCAATGCTCTTCCAAGTTCCCTTTAATCATAAGAGAGGAGGGCCTCTACGCCATTCATATTTTTAAATGTCTCTATCCAAGGAGATAAATTAACGAGGGGTTAAACCAGCGTGGGCAATTATTTCGACCAGAGGGCCACTTAACAGTTCTGATCAGCTGTCGAGGGCTGCACACATAAAATCTTTCAGAAGATATCATTTTAACAAAATATACATAAAAATAAACCATATAGTAAAATCAAATATCTACTATATTTTAATTTTATTTAAAAAATAATTTTCTCCTGATTTTTTTTTAATAGGGCATAGCTCAAAATAAAGTCTTACTCTTGTATATTTTGTGGGACGGGATGTGGGGGGTAGGGTGGGTGCGTGGAGGTGTGTGAGGTGGGTGTGCACATGTGTGGGGGGCTGCCAGTATGCTAAGTCCTGGAAGCTGGTCAGGGGTGAGTGGGGAGGGGAAGGGAGAGAGGCAGGGGCATGGGGCACAAGCAGCAGAACTTGCTCAGATGGTGCAAGTGCAGGTGCACTCCAGGCCCCACCCAGCCCCATCTGGCCCACAGCTGCCCCCCGGCACTCTGCATGAGGCCAAGCCCCATCCGCTCTGACCTGGGGCAGCCTGCACCATGTTCACAGTCACACCCACTGGCTCTAGCCCCAGTCCCAGCCAGTGTGCACAGCTTCCCTGCAGGGCTGCTCCCAGTGCGGCTGCAGTTGCTCAGCTCTCCTGCCTCCAGCGGCTCCTCCTCCTGCCCCTGCTGCACCACTCCGAATGTGGGGGAAGCTGCAGCAGGGAAGCTCCTATCCCAATGCTAGGGGCTCCAGCTCCAGGCCACCTTCCACCTACTTGGATGCCCACAGATGGCTGCTCATCACACTTGATGGCCAAGTGGGTGGAAAGTGGCTGGGAGATGAAGCCCTGCATGTTGGAGCAGGAGCCAGCACACAGGGCTTCCCCTCCTCCTGGAGTGGCACAGCAGGGGCAGGAGAAGGATGGGAGGGGAAGGGGACAGCAGTACTGAGGTGGCTGCAGCTGCACTAGGAACAGCCCTGCTAGAAAGTTGTGCATGCTGGCCGGGGCTGCCCTGGGCAGGGCTTGGCCCCATAATTCATGAGTGCCCACCCACAGACTGTATTTTGCCCACCCCTGAGTTAAACACTCAGTCTCATCTTCTTGGTCTCATGATGAAGCCTTCTCAAGTCTCTAATTATTTTTATTTATTTATTTGATGTATATACTGCCCTTCCCAACAAAGGCTAAGGGTGGCTTATAGTAAGAGAAGGGAATAACTTATAAAACAGGAGAACAAGCAAGAGAAGAAAGCAAATTATGAGGCAACAAGAGGATCAAAGTAAAACAGAACCCCAACAGAACAATATCCCAGTCTTGCTTTGTTTGCTAAGCGCCTGCCCAAGCACTTCTGAAGGATGTCCAGGTTCAGGCACTGCTGGAGGT